TAATGTGTTGTTGGATTTGATTGGCTAATACTTTGGTGATGATTTTTGCATCTATGTTTATCAGGGCACTTGGTCTTTAGTTCTCTTTCTCTGTCATATCTTTCTCTGGCCTAGGAATTAAGATGATGCAGACTTCATAGAAGGAGTTTGGGAGGATTCCTTCCATTTCAATTATTTCGAATAGCTTGAGAAGAATTGGAATTAGTTCTTGAAATGTCTGTCAGAATTCAGCAGTGAAGCCTTCAGGAACTGTGCTTTTCTTTTTTGGAAGGGTCTTTATTGCTGATTCAATCTCTGTCTTGTTTATTGATCTGTTTAGGTATTCTTTGTCTTTGTGAACTAATTTTGGTAGATTGTATGTGTCCAGGAATCAATCCATTTTGGGGGGGTTTCCCAATTGTTGGCATACAGCTCTTTGTAGTAATTCCTGATGATTCCTTTTATTTTGGTGGTATCTGTTAAATTTCCATTTTCATCTCTGATTTTATTGATTTTGGTCTTCTCCCTCTCTTTTTTTTTATTTTTTTGGTTGGTTCAATGATGTGTCAATTTTGTTTATTTTTTCAAAAATCTAGATCTTCATTTCATTGATCTTCTGTATTTTTTGTTTCAATTTTATTTATTTATTCCTTAATTTTAATTATTTTTTTCCTACTACTGATTTGGGGTTTAGTTTGTTGTTTTTTTCCTAGGTCCTTGAGGTACATTGACAGCTCATTTATTTGGTAACTTTCTAGTTTTTTTTTTTTTTTCTTTTTTTTTTACAGGCAGAGTGGACAGTGAGAGAGAGACAGAGAGAAAGGTCTTCCTTTTGCCATTGGTTCACCCTCCAATGGCCACCACGGCCGGCGCACCGTGCTGATCTCAAGGCAGGAGCCAGGTGCTTATCCTGGTCTCCCATGGGGTGCAGGGCCCAAGCACTTGGGCCATCCTCCACTGCACTCCCTGGCCACAGCAGAGAGCTGGCCTGGAAGAGGGGCACCCGGGACAGAATCCGGCACCCCAACCGGGACTAGAACCCAGAGTGCCGGTGCCGCTAGGTGGAGGAATAGCCTATTGAGCCGCGGCGCAGACCAGCTTTCTAGTTTCTTGATGTAGGCACTAATTACTATAAACTTCCCTCTTAACACTGCTTTTGCTGTATACAGTATGTTTCTTTAAGGCATTTCTTCTGCCAGTCGCCTTGTATGTTGGAGGTCCTCCTGGTGTTCTAGGATCTACTGTAATTTCTTTATGCTTTCTCCCAAAATTATCTATATCCTCATTGTTCCTAACAGTATCTTCAGCCATTTCTGTGCCTGAACTTCACATTCATTATGGCTCATTGCCACCTACATGTCTGAAATTCAACCAGCCCAAACTTGTGCCCCAAATATTTTTCTATTCCTCATAGTGGTGGACTCTTCAGCTCAGTGAAAAGTATTTGGTGTTAATTGCTGTTTTCTGTGTACTTCAGCCCAATTCATTGCCAAGTTCTATTGAAAATCTTCAGTATCTCTAATCTTTATGTGCTTTGCTTTATTCCTACAGCCACTTCCCTTAAGTGCTGCCCATAGTCCTGTTTGACTTAGACTTACGCTTTCCAGTAGAGTAGCCGCTAGTATCATGGGATTGGACCAAAGTGAGATGTGGTATAAGTGTAAAATATACACTGAGCATTTATAGTTTTCTACAAATATAAATTACCACATTCATCGTTTTTTTTATTTTGGATTACCTGGTAAATTATATTTTGAATGTGTATTAAATTAAATTTAATGCATTATAAAAATTACTTTCTTTTTTGCCTTTTAAAGAAGTGCAGTTACTAGAAAATTGGAAATTTTGTTTGGTTCTCATGATACATACAGTTCTGTGATACATAGTTCTGTAACATATAGTTGGACAGTGCTGAGACTACCTGAGACTACTAAGATGGCTTTTTTTTTTTCCCTGACAGGCAGAGTTAGAGACAGAAAAAAGTCTTCCTTCCATTGGTTCACCCCCCAAATGGCTGCTACAGCCGGCGTGCTTTGCTGATCTGAAGCCAGGAGCCAGGTGCCTCCTCCTGGTCTGCCATGCACGTGTCGGGCCCAAGCACTTGAGCCATCCTCCACTGCCCTCCCAGGCCACAGCAGAGAGCTGGACTGGAAGAGGAGCAACCGGGACTAGAACCCGGGGTGCCGGCGCTGCAGGCGGAAGACTAGCCAAGTGAGCTGCGGCGCTGGCCTAAGATGGCTTTCTGATAGGTCTTCATGTCCACTATTGCCATCATTTTCAATACTTTGTCATGTGAATTCCATTCTGAACCACACTATATCTCAGTCCTTTAGTTGCATCTTAATACCATGCTAACTTCACGCCTTTTCATGGGGCAGGCATTTGGCTCAATGTTGAAGAGGTTACCTGAGAGGTCTGCATCTTATGTTGGAATACCTGATTTATTAGAGTCCTGCATCTGTTCTGTACTCCTTCTTCCTGCTTATGTACATCCTGGGAGGCAGGAGGTGATGGCTCAATAGTTGTGTCCCTGCCACCCACAAATAAGTAAAATAATTTTTTTTGAGAGTCAAGAATAGAGGTGGGGGCTGGTGCTGTGGCACAATAGGGTAAACCTCTGCTTGCAATGCTGACATCCTGTATGGGCACCGGTTCTAGTCCCGGTTGCTCTTCTTCTGATTCAGCTCTTTGCTGTGGCCTGGGAAAGCAGTAGAAGATGGCCTAAGTGCTTGGATCCCTGCGCCTACGTGGAAGACACACAGGAAGCTCCTGGCTACTACTGGCTTCGGATTGGCTCATCTCTGACCGTTGCAGCAGTTTGGGGAGTGAACCAGCAGATGGAAGACCTTTCTCTCTGTCCGTCCCTCCCTCTCTGTTAACTTTACCTTTCAAATAGATAAATACCTATCAAATAGATAAAAGAATAGAGGTTAAAATTATCTTACCTGAAATACTTGAGTCCATAGTATTTTGGGTTTGGGAATTTTTGCATATACATATTAAGGTATTTTAGGGATAGGACAGAGGTCTTGGCACAAAATTCATTTATGTTTAAACATACTTTATACATGTAGCTTGAAGGCAATTTTATGCAGAATTTTTGGTGTACCTTGAATTTTAACTTCATTTCCATCACATAAGGTCTGGTGTGGAATTTTCAATTTGTTGCACTGTGTTGGTGCTCAAAAAGCTTCAGATTTTAGGGCATTTTAGATTTTTGGATTAGAAATTCTCAATCTTTAAATGATTAGATTAGTGAATGGTGGGAGAGATGGGTGAGTATAGATACAAGGGTTATATGCCTCAAAAGGAATTTGAACTTGAGGTTGGCTGGCGCCGCGGCTCAATAGGCTAATCCTCCGCCTGCGGTGTCGGCACACCGGGTTCTAGTCCCAGTTGGGGCGCCGGATTCTGTCCCAGTTGCTCCTCTTCCAGTTCAGCTCTCTGCTGTGGCCCAGGAGTGCAGTGGAGGATGGCCCAGGTCCTTGGGCCCTGCACCCGCGTGGGAGACCAGGAGAGGCACCTGGCTCCTGGCTCCAGATCGGCGCGGTGCGCCGGCCGTGGCGGCCATTGGAGGGTGAACCAACGGCAAAGGAAGACCTTTCTCTCAGTCTCTCTCTCTCACTGAACACTCTGCCTATCAAAAAAATAAAAAATAAAAAAAATAAATTTGAGGTTAGAGAAGTAATGCTCTCACAACATTGTAAGTACTACCCCCACCTGGAGAGAGTGAACGAGATGTAGGAGAATAGCCAACTTGTGTTTGAAGCTTTGGGGAAGAACTGTTTTGGGAAAAGAGTAGAGTTACAACTTTCATTGTGGAAGTAAAGGAAAACATGCTCACAAGTTTGGATGCTCGATAGTTTGCTGCAGAACAAAGAGAGGGCACAGAGAAAATGGAAAATGTTCAAATAGGATTGAGTTCCAGTCTCCTGGCTTCATTCTGGCCCATCTGTAGCTGTTGCAGGCATTTAGGCAGTGAACCAACAGTTGAAAGATCTGTCTCTTTCTCTCTCTTTTGTTATATATGATTTTCAAATAAAAGACAGTAATTGGAATTTTTTAAAAAAAGCAACAGTGAATAATGGGTTGGAATTAACTAGCTAGACGGTTATCACAGGTGTAGGTCCAAAGAATTAATTTATAGGGTGGCATAAGAGGGGAGGATTGGGAGTTTGGAATCAGTGTTTTGTTGTTGTTGTTGTTGTTGTTGTTTTTGTGGGACTCTAAGTAACTAGATTGGTATTTGTTAACTAGCAAGGGAAAAATTCTTAAGAAAAAATGAGGTCCAAAATTACCTGGGTGATGTGACACTTGGTGTCATTAATGGAGTCAGGAGACATGAGGGGATTTGTTTTAAGCACTCATTGTTTAGCTGCTAACCAGAATAAATCTTTACACAGCTAGACTAAATCTTCCAGATGATTTTTCTAAAATACTTTTTGCAAAGGGAAATATTAAGAGTACAAAATAACAGAAAATGAAAAGGCTTATTTTACAGCTTTATTAAATGAATGTGATAATAATTATTAGACTGTGATGTGCTTAGTGTATGAAATCTTTTAAGCTAATAGTATTTCAATGATAATTGCAATACAAAATAAATTTGTTTTGAACTAAAAGCTACTTTTTTAATTTGGATCTTTCTGTCATTCAAAAAATTTTAATATGTCTTCTCATTGACATGTAGAAATAACACATTTATGGTATACATTGTGGTATTTCATTATTTACAATAATTAAAGATTAGATCAAAGCCATTATATCTGTCTCCTCAGACATGTATCTGTGAGAACATTCAGAATCCTCTCTGTTAACCATTTTTAAATATTCAATTGTTACTCTGCTGTGCTGTTGCACATTAGGGATTATTCCTCCAAGTTAAGTCAGTGCTTAAAGTGTTGTCATGTACATTTAAATTTGTTATTGTCACCTGCACATTGATACTTATTTAGAGGAATTGCTGGATATGCATTTGCTTTAGGGTTGATGAACATTAAACATTTATTTTCTCTCCCTAGTCCAAACCCCTGATACCTCTTCAAAAAGAAACTGATTCAGAGACTCAGAAAATGGTGCTTACTAACTACATGTTCCCTCAGCAGCCAAGGACTGAGGATGGTAGGAACTTACGAATTTTTTTTCTTTTCAGAAACAAATACTGAGTAAAGCAAAGGTATGAAGCAAATTTTAAGTCTCAGAAATTTAATAGATGGGCGGAACTCTGAAGAATTGATAAAAATGTTCTCTTAAACTTCATTATAGATTTTTATATTAAAAATCACTCAGTTGTAACTGAAAAAATGGATGTTAAGTTTTACATAATTGGAACTCAGCTGTATGTTAAAAATGCATGTTAAGTTTTGCATAAAATCAGGAAATGTTTCACTCACTCCTGTGATAAACTTCAACTATCCTTGGATTTCTACATTAGATCAGGATAATTTGTAGAACTCTGGCAATAAATGTTATTTATAAGTTCTTTCATATATTTTATCCAATAAAAGAATTACTGTTGGCCACTAATTTTTTTTGTGGTTTATGATGTGAAGAGTAGGAACCAAATTATTTCTGATATAGTAGTCTGTGCGTATGTGTAATATTTAGAACATTTATTGTTTTATATTTAAAATATAATTTTTATTTATTTTCCTGAAACAGTGAAAATCTATTGTCTATACATTAACTATTAAGGTATTAAAAAACTGAAAAATACAAATTATTTATTTTTGACAGGTAGAGTTATAGACAGTGAGAAAGAGAGAGAGAGAGAGAGAGAGAAAGGTCTTCCTTCCATTGGTTCACTTCCCAAATGGCCGCTGCAGCCGGCGCTGCACCGATCCAAAGCCAGGAGCCAGGTACTTCCTCCTGGTCTCCCATGCGGGTGCAGAGGCCCAAGGACTTGGGCCATCTTCTACTTCTTTCCCAGGTCATAGCAGAGAGCTGGATTGGAAGAGGGGTAGCCGTTACTCGAACCGGCACCGATGTGGGATGCTGGCGCCACAGGTGGAGGATTAACCTACTGCGCCACAGTGCCAGCCCCTGAAAAATGCAAATTAATCATTGATTTTAATTTCTAATATATCATGAGCAAGTTTAACAAGTTACTTAGCTCCAGTTTCCCTGTTTTCTCTAATTAAAGAATTTTTAATTGTTCTTTTTTTTTTTGTAATTGACACATAGTAATTGTGCATATTTGTGACATTTTAAGATATATATATATACACACACACATAATATATAAAGATCAGCCGCCGGCGCCGTGGCTCAATAGGCTAATCCTCCGCCTGTGGCACCAGCACACTGGGTTCTAGTCCCGGTTGGGGCGCTGGATTCTGTCCTGGTTGCCCCTCTTCCAGGCCAGCTCTCTGCTGTGGCCAGGAAGGGCAGTGGAGGATGGCCCAAGTGCTTGGGCCCTGCACCCGCATGGGAGACCAGGAGAGGCACCTGGCTCCTGGCTTCGGATCAGCGCGATGTGCCGGCCGTGGCAGCCACTGGAGGGTGAACCAACGGCAAAAGGAAGACCTTTCTCTCTGTCTCTCTCTCTCACTGTCCACTCTGCCTGTAAAAAAAAAAAAAAACCAACTAATATTCATTTTGGCCAAGAATGCACAGAAAGATGTATTCTTATATACTATTGGTGGAAGTACAAATTGGCTTTGGCTCAGCATGGTGCGCTGACTGCGGCGACCATTGGAGGGTGAACCAACGGTAAAGGAAGACCTTTGTCTCTCTCTCTCACTGTCCATTCTGCCTGTAAAAAAAAAAAAAAAAAAAAAAGATCCGATCAGGGCATCTTCAGATCAGTCACCTCAGATATGTATGTTTGAGAACATTCAAAATCCTGTTACTGGGAGCCGGCGCTGTTGTGCGACAGGTAAAGCCACTCTCTGCAGTGCTGGCATCCCATATGGGCACTGGTTCAAGACCTAGCTGCTCCACTTCTTACCCAGCTCTCTGCTATGGTTTGGGAAAGCAGTGGAAGATGGCTCAAGTCCTTGAGCCCCTGCACCCATGTGGGAGACCCAAAAGAAGCTCCTAGCTCCTAGCTTCAGATCGACCTAGCTCCGGCCATTGTGGCCATTTGAGGAGTTAACCAGTGGGTAGAAGATCCCTCTCTCTCTGCCTCTGCCTCACTGCCTCTCTGTAACTCTGCCTTTCAAATAAATAAATAATTCTTTTAAAAAAAAATCCTATCACTAAAAAAACCCTATTACTTTCTATTAAAGTTGTTATTGTTTTAAACTATGGTTATTATACTGTGCTTTTTTTTTTTTTTTTGAAGATTGGTTTATTTATTTGAAAGGCAGAAATAGAGAAAGAGACAAACAGAGAATGTGAGATCTTCGATCCACTGGTTCACTCCCCAAATGGCCACAATGGCCGGAGTGGGCCAGACCAAAACCAGAAGCTTCTTCCAGGTTTCCCACTTGGGTGCAGAGGCCCAAGTACTTAGACTATCTTCTGCTGCTTTCTCAGGTGCATTAGCAGGGAGCTGGATTGGAAGTGAAGCAGCTGGGACTTGAACCAGTGACCAAATGGGATTCCGACACCGCAGGCAGAGGCTTAACCTTCTGTGCCACAGTGCCGGCCCCAAAACTGTGCTGTTGAATTATTAGGAGTTACTTCTCCTGTGTAGTTGCATCTCTATACCTGTTAACTATGCTTTCTCTATCCTATTTTCTCCCATACCCTTCTCAGGTTCTAGTAAACACAGATGTATTCTTAAATATTTTGAGTTCAACTTTGTACATTCCACATGTGAGAGCATGCATTAGTTGTCTTTTTGTGCCTGTGTTTTTTCAGGTAATGAAATGTCCTGTAGTTCCAATTATGTTGGTACAAATGACAGGACTTCAAGGACTTCATCCTTTTTTATAGCTGAGTAGTAATGCACAGTTTCATTACTCATTCTTCTGTACAGACATCTAGATCAATTCCCTTTATTGGCTAGTATGAATAGTGCTGCAGTAAATATGCAAATACAGATGTCCTTTAAGTATACCGGTTTCATTTCCTTTGCATGTATTCCCAGTATTGGGATTTCTGGGTAGATGATAGGTAGTTCTTTTTTTTAGTTTTTTGAGAAAACTGCATACACTTCTCTATAATGGTTGTACTTATTTATATATATATATATTTTTAAGATTTTATTGATTTATTTGAGAGGTAGAGTTATAGACAGTGAGAGGGAGAGACAGAGAAAGGTCTTCCTTCCGTTGGTTCACTCCCCAAATGGCTGCAATGGCCGGAGCTGCCCCAATCCGAAGCCAGGAGCCAGGTGCTTCTTCCCGGTCTCCCACGCAGGTACAGGGGCCCAAGCACTGGGCCATCTTCTACTGATTTCCCAGGCCATAGCAGAGAGCTGGATTGGAAGATGAGCAGCCGAGACTAGAACCAGTGCCTGTATGGGATGCCAGCGCCAGAGGCAGAAGATTAACCTACTATGCCACGGCATCAGCCCCACTAATTTATATTCTAACCAACATTATATAACGGTTCTCTTTTCCACTTCCTTGATGGCAATTCTTTTTTTTTTTTTCTTTTTTTTTTAATTGAGGTGGATATTATGGTGCTTTAAATTAAGCTGCTGTGGGGCTGGCACTGTGGCTTAGCAGGAAAAAGCCACTGCCTGCAGTGCAGCATCCCATATGGGCACCAGTTCAAGTCCCGGCTGCTCCACTTCCTATCTAGCTCTTTGCCATAGCCCGGGAAAGCAGTCCATGTGGGAGACCCGGAAGAAGGTCCTGGCTCCTGGCTTCGGATTGGCACAGCTCTGGCTGTTACAGCCAATTGCAGAGTGAAACAGTGCATGGTTAAGACCTCTCTCTTTCTCCCTCTCTTTTTCTTTCTTTGTAACTCTGACTTTCGAATAAATAAATATTTAAAAAAAAATTAAGCTGCTGCTTGGGACTTCCACATCTCATATTGGAGAGCCAGTCCTAGTCCCTTCTGTTCCACTTCAGTCTAGCTTCTTTTTTTTTAAGATTTATTTATTTATTTGAAAGTCAAAGTTACACAGAGGGAGAAGGAGAGGAGAGGCAGAGAAAGAGGTCTTCATCCAATGGTTCACTCCCCAGTTGGCCGCAACAGCTGGAGCTACACAGATCTGAAGCCTGGAGCTGGAAATTCTTCCAGGTCTCCCACGCTGGTGCAAGAGCCCAAGGACTTGGGCCTTATTCTACTGCTCCCAGGCCATATCACAGAGCGAGATCAGAAGTGGAGCAGCCGGGACTCAAACCGGCACCCATATTGGGTGCTGGCGCTGCAGGCAGTGGCTTTACTCGCTGAGCCACAGCGCTAGCCCCTCTAGCTTCTTGATAATGCTTCCTGGGAGGTAGCAGATGATGGCTCAACTTCTTGGGCCCCTGCCCATTGACATTGGCAATCTGTTTGGAGTTTTTTGCTCCTAACTTTGGCCTATCCCAGCCCTGGCTGTTTTGAGAATTTGGGGAGTAGTCCAGTGGGTAGAAAGTATTTCTTTCTCGCTTTCACTCTTCCTTTCTTTTTTTTTTTTTTTTTTTTTTTTTTTTTTTTTTTTTTTTGACAGGCAGAGTGGACAGTGAGAGAGAGACAGAGAGAGAGAAAGGTCTTCCTTTGCCGCTGGTTCACCCTCCAATGGCCGCCGCTGCAGCCGGCGCACCGCGCTGATCCTGGCAGGAGCCAGGAGCCAGGTGCTTTTTCCTGGTCTCCCATGGGGTGCAGGGCCCAAGCACCTGGGCCATCCTCCACTGCACTCCCTGGCCATAGCAGAGAGCTGGCCTGGAAGAGGGGCAACCGGGACAGAATCCGGCGCCCCAACCGGGACTAGAACCCGGTGTGCCGGCGCCGCAAGGTGGAGGATTAGCCTATTGAGCCACGGCGCCGGCTTCTTCCTTTCAAATAAATAAGTAAATCTTCTAAAAAGTATTTTTGTATGTGTGTATGCATGTACGTATGTGAGAGAGAGTGCTCCTGTCTGCTGATTTACTTTCCAAATACTGTGGTCAAGGCTCTTAGGTAGGACTGATGCCAGGAAGCAGAAACTCAGTCAAGGTCTCCAATCTGGGTGGCAGAAACCCAATTACCTCAACCATCACCTCTGCCCCCCAGGATTTAAATTAGCAGAAAGCTGGAATCTG